AAAAAGATTCCCAGGTGATTCTAATGTGCAGCCAAGGCTGAGAACCACTGCTCTAAATTCTTTTTTTTTTTTTAAATATATTTTTATTGATTTCAGAGAGGAAGGGAGAGGGAGAGAGAGATAGAAAGATCAATGATGAGAGAGAGTCATTGATTGGCTCCTGCATGTCCCCCACTGGGGATGGAGCCTGCAACCTGGGCATGTGCCCTGGACCAGAATCGAACCCGGGACCTTCAGTCCACAGGCCGACGCTCTATCCACTGAGCCAAACAGGCCAGGGCGTAGCCTCTAAATTCTTAACAAGGAGCCTGGCGCTCAGTACGTGATTAGCTTTTCTCTGAGTGAGTGTGAGTGTTCACAGGAGTGTTTGCATGAGTATTTCATCTGAAATATTTGTATAAATGTATTAGCATAAGTATTCACTAGAGCACACAGCTGAAACTAATATAAAATAATATCGAATGTCAACCGTGATTGACAAGTTAAAAAAAAGAAAGTTGCTTAGCCTGAGGGTAGTAGGATCTGGTCTCCATTTCAGCTCTGTGGTAAGGGAGACTCAGGCTTCGACCCTCTCTGATTGTGGTTTGGATAATACACTCTCCCCTACCCAAAACTTAGCAGAGTGGCCCACGAGCCAGGTAGCGTGTATTAAAGTCTTTTTTACTCATGTATATGAAGGAGTATTGTCATTAGCTGGTTAAAATTCTCATTTGAAACATTGTAAATTAACATATGCAACTTCAAAAGGTATGTTAAAATGTCCAAGTGGACAAATACATGAAAAAAAAAGTTAACAACAACAACAAGCCTTCGCCAGTGTATTGGGATGAGCGTTCTCTGTGCGTTCGTGTGGGCGCTCCGACTGCACAAACACCCACACGTACACTCAGTTCTTACATGAATGTCCACACGGTGTTCACGTCCGCAAGCACCACGGGTGCTTGTATGCGGGATCCGCCGCGTGTGGGCAGCAGCGGGCCCAGGTGGAGCACAGCCCCTGACCCTGAGGGAGGCTCCGCGGGCCAGGCCTGCTGTGCTCTTGGCGGGGCCGCCTCTCCCTGGGTCTGAAGCGGAACCGACTCTGGTTTGCAGTCCGAGGGCCGGGTCCTGAAGGAAGCCACCTACATCAACAAGTCGCTGTCCTTCCTGGAGCAGGCCATCGTCGCCCTCGGGGACCAGAAGCGGGACCACATCCCCTTCCGGCAGTGCAAGCTCACCCACGCCCTCAAGGACTCGCTGGGTGAGGGCCCGCTGGTGCAGGGGGAGGGAGAGGGGGTAGAAAGGTCAGTGATGAGAGAGAATCATGGATCGGCTGCCTCCTGCACGCCCCCCACTGGGGATGGAGCCTGCAACCTGGGCCTGGGCCCTGACCAGGAATCGAACCTGGGACCCTTCAGTCCCCAGGCTGACGCTCTATCCACTGAGCCACACCGGCCAGGGCTGTGATCATAGAATTGCCCCTTCCCGGTGGCATGAGCCTCGTGCAGCCTTTTCACAGAACCACGCCTAGTGCCTCTCCCTTCGCCTACAGCACGTCACCCTGTTCACTCCCAGAAGCCGGGCCTAAGCTCTGGCCTCTCCTGGGAACACCTCCGCATCCCTCTCATCCCTAAACCCGCTGGCAGAGCCTTCGTCACCTCCAGGGCCCAGTGTGGCCTCTCCCAGGACGTCCTTCCTTCCCCCACAGTCTCCCCGACGGGGTGAGGGCGGTGTCTTGTCATCCCTGTGTCCCCAGGTTTTGGGTTGGGCCTAATGACACAGTCATTGGTGTCTGGTTATTTTATATATGTATATATATATATAATTGATTTCAGAGAGGACGGGAGAAGGAGAGATAGAGATAGAAACATCAATGATGAGAGAGAACCATCGATTGGCTGCCTCCTGCACGCCCCCCACTGGGGACTGAGCCCACAACCCCGGGCATGTGCCCTTGACTGGAATCGAACCTGGGACCCTTCAGTCCCCAGGCTGACGCTCTATCCACTGAGCCAAACCAGCCAGGGCGGTGTCTGGTGATTAACTGAGTGCGACTATGAGCAAAACCTGCCCCTGCCCCTGCCCCTCCCGGCCTTACGCAGTCTCTCCTCTGCTGTTCCCCACCCTCGTGACCTCATCTACACCCAATTACCTTCTCAAAGCCCCACCTCCAAACACCACCACCTGGGGAGCTAGGACTCTAACATGTGGACATGGAGGGCACACACGCGTTCTATTCATAACCGACCCCCCCAGCCTCAAAGGATTCATGGGCTTGCGTGTCCCGCCTCCTGCAGGGGGAAACTGCAACATGGTCCTGGTGACGAACATCTACGGCGAAGCCGCCCAGCTGGACGAGACGGTACG